CCCCTGCTCGCCACGCAGGGAAGGAGGCCAGGGAAAAGGTGAGCATGGAGGGGAAGCAGCCCCTCCCCCACCCCACAGCCGGTGCCCCATGCTGCAGGCACTTGCAGCCTGCGTGGTGCTGTCCGGAGCAGGCAGAGGCAGCCCCACGTGGGCTGCGAGCAGCTGCAGTGCAGGGCACTGGGCATGGGGTGGGGAGGGGCCGCTTCCCCCCTGCACTCCTTCCCTGCCCAGGGTCCCCCCGCCCCACCCCACTTACCTGAGCTTCCTGCACCAGGGCAGCCACATGCTTCCAGTCCAGAAATCCGGCTGGGGCTTCTGGCTGGGGGGGGTGGGGCCGGGTGGGCCTACTGTTGTGGGAGCGCACCGGGCTTCCCCTGAGTCCTACTGTCCTTGGTTCCTGTCACTTCTGACAGGAACCAAGGGCAGAAAAATATTAATTTTCTACATTTTTTGTAGGGGCCCTGCGGGCCAGATAGAATGGCTTCGTAGGCCGGATTTGGCCCATGGGCCATATTTTGTCCACCCCTGACCTACACTTAGATCCCTAGTTAGGTTGATCTAGTGTGAACTGTTTAGGAAGGTTAAGATGGTCTAAAATGGCCAATCTAACTGAACTTCTGTACAGTTCCCAACACAACCTCTGGGAAAGCCCAACCGCTGGCCATAGCCCTGGATCTGTGCCCCTCACCCCTTGCACCAAACTATTTTTAGCTCCCTGGCCCTAACTTCCTTGAATGCCTGTATCTGTCCTTAAGGGTTTCTCTTCTAGAACTGTGAAATATTAAACAGAGCATATATAATTGTTTTGCTGTCTTCCTAGATTCCTTGTTCCAGTTAGCCCTACTTTCAAGGTCCTCAGCCAGTTTATTCCAGTGATTCCCAAACTAGGCATTATGATTTGCAAATGAGGCGATGGCAGTGAGCAGTATTCTGACCCACAGAGAAATTCAATAATACTGGTTGGACTCAGCTCAAAAATGGGGTGGTGAAGTTGGGCTGAGGCCATAGTGGAACAAGTTGGAAAGCACTGCTTAATGCCCACAATTAATTTTTAGACAAACATTTTCATCTCCTTCCTCTGATCTCATTGGGTACTGCTGAAGGATTAGTACTTTTTGAATGCCAGGCTTATTGCATGCCTCAGTGAGACTTTGGAACCTAACTTTAAGTATTTCTTTTTAAAGAAACATTGGGCTTATGATTTAGAAGTATAAAATTGAATACATTTTAATATAAAGAAATGGAGTCCTGTAAATGTGTTTATAGTTTATAAATAGGTAATTAGTTAGTAGTTGGGAAGGAGTGGTCTGAAGAAAGGACAAGAGAAGCTACCACCCATTATACAGATTCCACAATGTACAGAAGGGTTATTTTTTAGTAGGCCTTATGAGGGCAATTTCCTGCTCCCTGCTGAGATTCTCAAAGTTCAGAGACCAGCCTTAGGAGCAGATACATGCTTAAAGCTTAGTTAGTGAGTACTAAACTGTAGAGGTGCACTGATACATCAGTCTGATATCAGATCGGCACTGATATAAAAGAAAATTGACTGTATCGGAAATCGGCTTTTTTGCGTGACGTGGCCAGTAAAGGCCTTATGCATGCATGCAGTACATAAGCAGTGAGGAGCACAGCCTGGCAGCATGGAGTGCAGCATCCAGCTGGTAAGTCTGTTGTGGAGGAAGGGTGGGGGGGAGGGAAGGGGCATGGGGGGATGCAGATTAAGGACCCTGCAGCGAAGGAGGGAGTGGAGCTGGGGGAGGGTTGGGTGCTGGACAGTCACAAGGAGCTCATTCAGGGGGCACCGGGGGAGGGGGCAGGTCCCACTGCTGTGTGCATACATGGGGGAGCCATGGGGGACATCTGCCCCCCCAGCTCTGTGCGCGGGCAGCAGACAACTGCCACTGCATGCTTCAGGCCAGGGGCTGCACTGGGCTCTTCCCAGCAGGGGGGCAGGGGAGGCTGGGGCTGTGCTAGGCAGCAGCACTGGAAGGGTGGGCTACGGGGGGCCCACAGCCCCCTCCCAGTGCCGCTGCCA